AGCTGTCTCCCTGTGCACACACAGCCCCTGTGTTCTCCCATAACTGATGTCTCCAAGGAGTGTATCTACCTCATGGAAATCTTCAGCTCATATGCCTGGCTTTTGTTTGGCTGGAAGCCACAGGAGTGGGTTCAACTCCAGACCTGAAGGGCAGCTAGGGGCCACAGTCTCAGGGGTTCCACCAGGCTCTGTCAGCCCAGCAAACCTGGTCCCTTTTTCTCCCCCCACGTGATTTTGAGTTTTGTTCCACATTGTTCTCCCTCTCTAAGATCTCCTACATAGATCTCCCTTCTAGTGGTTGACAGTGGCAGCTGAGCACCATCTAGTTCTTCTGGTCTCATGGTCATATAAGCTGAGGATCGCATGGTGGACGAGTCCCTTGGACTAACTGCTTCCATGTGTCTTTGGTTTTCTTCATTGTTCTTTGCTCTGGACGAGGAGAGACCCATCATTGCAACTAGACAGCTGCTTGCAAGCCTTTAAGATCTCAGTTGCTACTCACCAAAGTAGGATGTGGAGTAACATTTCTGTGTAGTATGTTACGCCAATTGAGCTTGATGTCCCCTGTGACCATGGTCCCGAGCCCACAGGTCCAACGGCTCACTCCCTCCAGGTGGCCGGCTTGGGCCAAGAAGCCACCACAGCCTACCTGCCAACAGTTTCACTGTCTCAGGGGCAAAAGGCCTCACCGCTGCGTTCGCTGTAAAAGGCTCCCGTACACAAACTTCCCAACTGGGAACATGATTCATCGGGTGGGGCTTCTTCACTGTAAGAGGATCCACCAGAGACCGTGTTTAAGTCCCTAAGCCCCAGAAACACCTAAAATAGTTTCCAAGTTTCCGATCACACGCGATTCCCAGACCACATCTTCTCGTGGCCGCTGTTCCGGCTGCTGAGCAGGTGACCCCAACACAAGCGAGCAGAACCTGTCTGGGCCGTGCCGCCCTCACGGTCCCTGCCGTGTGGCACTCACCGCTGCAGCCACCGTGTCGGGCCATTCCCGAGCGCCTTCCTCCTCGTCACTGACCCCCACCTTTCCCAAGCACACTGTCCTTCTCCAGGGACCGGTCCTGATAACATGCCAAAGTACGAGAGATGCAGTCGCCCCATGCTTACCTCTCAGGAGCATTCCGGGCGCACTTTCTCCAGGATGGGCCTGCTCGGCCTGCTGGCAGTCCCTGCCACAGTCTACATTCTTCACCGTCACAGTCACTCAGAGGCATCCATTCTCCGCTCCTTGTTCACCATCCAGCTTTTGTATGCACAGGAGGTGATTAAAACACCAGGGCTTGGGTCAGGCGCGTCCCAGTCCTCAAAGTGACATCTTTGCTTTGTAGCACTTTAAAGAGGTCTTTTGAACCAGATTTGCCCAATGCAAGCTGTTTAATTTCTTGACTGCTGCTTCCATGGGTGTTGACTGGAGTCTTGTAGAAGGGAATCCCTGACAGCTTCAATCTTTTCTCCATTTATCACAACGTTGCCTGTCGGGCCGGCTGTGAGGATTTTTGCCGCCTTTATGTTGAGGTGTAACCCACACTAACAGGTGTAGTCTTTGATCGTCATCAGTGAGTGCTTCAAATCATCTTCACTTTTAGCAAACGGTGTCGTGTCATCTGCATACAGCAGGTGGTTAATGACCTTCCTCCAATCCTAATGCCGAGTTCTTCCTCACATAGTCCAGCTTCTTGGGTTTCCTCAGCACACAGGTTGAGTAAGTAATGGAGAAAGGATACAACCCTGATCTTAAACCACACAGTATCCCCTTGTTCTGTCTGAACGACTGCTTTGTGACCTATATACGGGTTCTGTCTGAGCCCAGCTGAGCATTCTGGAATTCCCGCTCCTCAGAGCGTTAGCCACGATTTCTAATGACCCACACGTCTGAACGCCTCTGCTCAGTCAATAAACCAGGTAGACATCTTTCTGATGTGTGCTTTCAGCCCCCACCCAGCTGACACCAGCAGTGATAGCCCTCGCTCCACGTCCTTTTCTGGGCATGGCTTCGCTTTCCGGCAGGCCCTTGCCAGTGTCCTGCCACAGCGCCCCACCAGCGCGCGCCGTGAAGCCACGGCGGGACTGTCCCGCTTCCTCGTGGCTCCCCTTCCCTGGAACAGGCCCACACACGATCTCACCCCCACACCCAGGGAGACCCTCAAGGAGGACCCTGCCCGGCGCTCCTTCTTAGACAAGGGCAGAGAACGCGGGGCCGGTGCTGCCCACGGACGGGGGGCAGCGGCGCACGTACCTGATGGTGCCCGTCGGGGAGGGCACGGGGCTGACCATGCCCCGGAGGTCCGGCTCCGGGATGTGGATCTTCAGCGGGGACATCTGAGGGTACAGCGGCCGCAGCGGGGACGCTGGCGCTTCCTCCTTGTGAAACAGCGACGTGAACTGGATCTTTATGGCCGTGCTGGGGAACCGGAAGGTGCACCTGCAGGAGGGACACGGCACGTCAGGCACAGGGTGGCAACGAGGAGGGACACGGCACGTCAGGCACAGGGTGGCAACGAGGAGGGACACGGCACGTCAGGCACAGGGTGCAACGAGGGAGAAGCCGCAAGTCAGTGAGGAAGCCGTGCTAAGACCACCCGGTGGTTCCTGTGCGCCACACACGCTGTCCAGACCTTTCACCACATACCTCAGTGGACTCACACTCACTCTGGCATCAACCACCCCTTTACAGGGCACAGGAACAAGACAGACATGAAAGTCCCCAGGCAAACAGCTGCAATGTCATCTCCAACAGAGGTTCCAGACAGACAGACAGACAGCCACTTCCTGTCCACTACAACCTGCCACACTACTCCCCAGCAAACACCTGTTGGAAAAGTGAGTCACACAGCCACCAGAGACCTGAAGGGCTGTCCTGGCCCACATCATGCTCCCGAGAAGACACAAAGCAGACCCGGTGCAGCCAAGGTGGCTACCCAGCTCTGGATGGTGGCACAGCGCAGAATTAAGGGCTTGGTTCCGTTTGGTCTTGGGTTGGATGCCTCTGATGGTGGGGCGCTCCCTCTGAGGGAGCACGTGGCGGCAGAAGGTGGTTGCGGCCTTGACTGCTTGCGTGAAGGTCGGCAGCTTGAATCCACCCAGAGGCTCCCTGGAAGAGAGGCCTGGAGCTTTTGAAAAGTCACAGCCTTGGAAATCCTAGGGGCAGCGCTACTAACATGTGGGGTCACTGTGAGGGGAGCCAACTCCCCAGTGCAACAGCAGGGCTAGAGGCAGTGTGTGTGTTTGTGGGGTCCAACGCAGTAAATTACATAGTATGGCTTTTCTAGCCGTAGGTCTTTGTAAACTCCGTGGTGGAACTTGCTGTGAGCGATTGAGTAGCTCCTGATTGTTAAAGTCACCACTTGGGTATTTCTGCTGAACCAGCACAAAGCAGTCTTCTGGGAAGTGCACGCTCTCTCAGGGTACAGAATTCCGATGTTGGGAGTGGTTAGTGGCCACCCTGCCAGGCTCTAAAGGAGCCCTCCTAGAGGCAGAAGGAGCCTCTCTGACTGCTGGCCGAGAAAGACAAGCTGCTAAGAACAACACACTCCTGAGAGACATGCACTTGCTGAGAGACACGAGACACGCATTGCTGAGAGAGACACTGAGAGACGTGCACTGCTGGGAGAGAGACAGTGGGCTGAGAGAGACTGAGCGTGTTCCGGAACCTGAATTGTAGCCTGTTGGCTCCCTAATAAACCCCATAATCTGTGAGTTCTGTGTGGCCACTGCAGCAAATTACTGAGCTCAGCAGAGAGGTGGCGGGTGCCGTGGGAGGAACGGCTGGTGTCAGGATTGGTGCAAGGGCTGGAGGGAGGCAGCATGTCTGGGCTGGCAGGAATAGGCCTTGGGCTGCGGATGGTGATCCTGTCTTCCTCTCGTGGGGTTATAGGTCAGAAGATGTGGCCTCCTTGCCCCGTTAGCAGGGGGAATGGAGTGCCTACCAGTGGGAGGGGTTTCCCTGGGTCAGGGGTGGGGGTCTACCACAAATGTTCTAAGTGCACTGTGGAGAGGATGACACACCTCTGGACACACAGAGCCTCTGAACAGCACAAGGTAAGCGGGTTAGTTGTACGGTGCGTGAATTACACCTTAACAAAGCTGTCTGAGAAGTCTCGCCCTAAAGCTCCACACGCCCACGATGCCCTCCTGGCTCCAGTGGTGCCCTCCTGCCTTGGTGGGTCCCTGGCTGTGTAGCCACTAGAGGGCGCCAGGCTCAGCTGGCAGGGCTGTGCTCACAGATCCCGCAGAGGGCTGGTCCTACTCGCCACCCGTCCGCAGGTTGTGGGACCCCGTGACGACTGTGGTCTGTGATCTGGATGCTGTGACTGGGTGGGTGGGGCTTAGACGGCCTCCTCCAGGGTTTGTCATGTGCTAGAAGACGACACACAGATACATGGATGGTCAAAGGGGCTGACTGTGGCAGGGATGCTGGTCCCCGCATAAGAATCCTTGCCTTTCTGTGTGACAGTGGATGGCTGGACATGTGGCGGCCCAACCAAGACCACAGTTCTCCGAGACCTCTCCTGCCACCAGATGGGGCAACAGGACGGGAAAGGGTTGTATCCTTAGAAGGAAAGGGGTGGGTGCCTTCATCCCTTCTGCTCCCGATGCCTGGAACGTGGGTGTGAGGGCAGGCGCCAGGACAGCCACCGTGAAGTGGTCAGTGGGCTGCCAAAGGACGTCTCAGAGCCTGGAGTGCCACATCAGCCCATGAAGGTGGTCTGACGAGAGAGAAAAGAGCGTCTCTCGTCTGAGCCACTCTCCTTCACACTTCCGCTACAAGAGCAGAGCTGGTGGGACCTGGGGTCGCGGCTCAGGAAGGACGCCCTCCTTCCGTCAGTCTAAGGCAGTTGTCTGGGCTCAGAGCACTGGGCACAGGAGGAACATGGTGGTCACCGAGGCGGCCAGGGCCGGCCACGCAGCCTGGACACCTGCACCGTGACCACTGTGACATCACCGTCGTGGGTGAGGACGGGCGGAGCGAGAGTGCACCCTAACCCTCCGCAGTGTGCCAACACCCAGCAGCCGGCTCCCAGCAGTGGCCCCACGAACGAAACGTGCAGCCGTTCCCATCAAGCCTCGGTCACCGTCAGCATTTTTCACCCGTGGATGTTATTTCAATTTTCACCCCTGGCGAGTGTGCTGAAACACGAAGTCTTTCTTGACTCTGGGCGGGGATGCCCACGGGCGGCAGTGCGCCCTGGCAGCCCTGCGGGCCTCCCCGAAGCGGCAGCACTTCCGCGCATGCGCGCTCCTGGGGCGGAGCAGCCCGGCTGCTGGAGGAGACGAGGCGGAAGCTCGGGAAACAGGCGGGGAAAGGAGCGCTGTAGCGCGGTGCTTAAGCGCTCGGCTGCCTTCCCGCAAGGTGAGCACTTCAAACCCACCAGCCACTCCGCGGTACAAAGATGAGGCGGTCCCCTTCCAAAGACTGAGCCTAGGACACCCTCTGGGGCAGTTCTCGGTCCACCAGGGGCGCTGTGAGTCGGCACTGACTGCACGGCGGGGTTAGCTTGGTTTAACACCCTAGGACACCCTCTGGGGCAGTCCTGCGGCCACACGGGGTTGCTGTGAGTCACCTCGACTCCAGGGCACCCAACAACACAGCTGTTCCAGCCCGCTCCCTCCCCTCCCCCTGCACCCAACAGGCACCGAGGGCCAGTCCCTCCCCATCAGACCTCCGCAGGGGCATGGGGGATGGAGTGGGCCCCAAGAGCAGGAACAGCTGCAGGGTGTTGCCAGGGACTGCGGGGCCCCAGAGGATGCCCCCACCTGCTGTGAGCTGGGAAAGGGGCCCTGGGGCCTAAACACATTAACATTTCCAGAACTCTGCAAATTCCAGCCACAATCAGGACTCTCGGCTGATAAAGCTGCCCCTTCTCCCAGGCGGTTTCCAGGTGCACACCTGAGAAGGCGTCACAGCACAGCCCTGGGGAAGCCACAGGAGTGGGTGCTGAAGAACGGGGACCAGAAAGGGCCACAGGAGGACACGGAGCGAAGGACAGAGGGAAGAGGTAACCATGGGAGGAAGGGGGAGGGGAGCTGTTGCATTATTGCGGTCAATGTCAAGAGACAAAGCATATGTGAGCTGCTGTATAGAAAGAGAATTTGCTCTGTAAACTTTCACCCAAATCACATACACACACAAAAGTTGGAAATAGAAATACCATTTGATGCAGTAATTCCCTTACTAGGTATATATCCTAAAGAAGTGAGAGGCAGGATACAAACGGATACATGCACACTCGTGTTCACTGCAGCACTTTTCACAACAGCAAAAAAACAAAAATGCAGCCACAGCCGACTCAAAGCGATCCATTTGGGTTTCTGAGGCAGTATCACTATGGAAGTAGACTGCCCAACCTTCCTTCGGAGGAGTGGCTGGTGGATTTGAACTGCCAGCCTTCTGATTAGCAGTCAAATGCCTTAGGCACTACGCCGTCAGAGCTACTATTCACAATACCAGAGAGATGGAAACAACCTAAGTGACCATCAACCGAGGAATGGATAACCAAACTGTGGTACGTACACACGATGGAATACTATGCAACCCTAAAGAATAATGTAGAATCTGCAAAACACTGCATAATGTGGATGACCTTGGAGGACACTAAGCTGAGTAAAATAAATCAATCACAGGACAACTGTATTAGTCCAATATTATAAAAACTCAAGGAAAGGTTTTACATAGAATGCAACTTTCTTTGTTGATTACTAGGGAGGGAAGGGGAGGGGGCGGGAGGCTAAATTCCTAGATAAAAACGCAAAACTCACTGCCATTGAGTCAGATCCGACTCAGAGCAACCCTCCTTGGGTTTCCGAGGCAGTATCACTATGAAAGTACATTGCCCAACCTTCCTCCTGAGCAGTGGCTGGTGGATTTGAACCACCAGCCTTCTGGTTAGCAGTCAAGTGCCTTAGGCACCACACCACCAGAGCTCCTCAAATTCCTAGACAGATTAAAAAATATATATATATATATATATATATATATATATATATATATATACACACACACACACACACACATACATACATAGATACATGTATATACACATATACATACATAAACATATATATATGTTGTTATGGGCCATGGAGTCAGATCCGACTCATAGTGACCCCTCCTTGGGTTTCCAAAGCAGTATCTCTACAGATACACACACACACACATACATATACACACACATACACACACATACGCATATACCAAGGAGTATGAGTGGTTACCAGGGGCAGGAGGGAGGGGAAAAGGAGGCTTTTCTTTGCGGGGCACTGAGTTCATGCTCCTGGTGGTAGAATCATTTGGAAAAGGACAGCAATCATGGTGGCACAACATGAAAAATGTCATCGATGTCCCTGAGCTGTAAATGGGGAAGTTGTTAGGTTGGCGAATGTCTTGTGTGTATTTTCTCCACAATAAAAGTAAAAAAGAAAAAG